GGGGACATGATCATGAACTTTTAACTGGGTGGATTCTGGTGTAATTTCCAGAATTGGGATTAACACAGATGTGCTAAGATGTCTGCTTCATTAAATTGGAACTTTAAAGATCATTTTGCCTTGGACTCTGATTTAATTCTACATGATACTTGGAACACTGACAGCTATTATGTTTCTCAAAAGGATAACCGGTGCTCTTCTACTGTGATGGAATACAGTAAGAAGGTGGATTTATAAAATGGACGAGGGTGCACTCCAGAGGAGTAAAAAGCAACTTAGCCCAGATTGATATGAGAGGAAGAAGGTGAAGATTAATAGTTCACATTATAGATGCCGATAATAGTGCTTAGTCTGGTAAGATTTTTTCTATAGGCATGAAACAATAAAGAAAGCTTGGAAGAATCATGTGACATTCTTGGTTTTGGGCCTGGCAACTACAGTAAACCAGAAGTTGAACCAAAGTATATGCTCCCAGATCAGAAACTTATACAGTAGGAATCAATGTAAGCATGATACACAGTGCATTTCACCCTGGCACTGTAAAAGAAAGAAGGAAAGAATGAAAAATTCTGGTTAACAATAGAGGCAGGGTTTGGCTACTTGAGTAACTACCTATCTTAGCATCTGCTGGCCAATTTCATCTTGCAGAGTTGGCATGCTTTGAGTAAATCTGTCAGGTTCCTCCCAAAAGCATTCTGAAATTCTATACACAAATATAACACACACACACACACACGCACACAAATGTAGATAACCGAAACAAAAGACCATCTTACTGCCAAACAACATACATTACAAACTTGTTACTTCAGAAGGAATATAGAAGTCAAAATGGAATGTCTCACTTTACTCTTTTCCATTGTTTACGGGTTACTGTTTCTTCCACTGGCGAAGGATCCATGTCATTTCCATTCTGTTCGGTAAATGATGTTTCTGACTCTGAAAATTTCAAATGGAAAACCAGGAAATTTGTGCTGGGTAAAAATATTATTTATACCCGTAGTTCCAGAAGAGACGGCGAAGGGATGAAGCATTTCCTTTGCCAATAAGGTTTTATATAAATGGAGCTCCTTTTCTTCTTCACAAGAATAACCGTGTGAAGAAGATATACATGTAGAGTATTAGATCAAAAGCAGGAAATAAATATACTAAAAATGTGTCTGGAATTCCAGAAACCGTGTAGAAAAAGTATTCAGTATATTTATTTCCTACCTTTCTGTTAAGGAAAAATACATGCATCTCCTCAAGAAATTTTCTCATGAGTAAATCAGGCAGGAACCCCACATGTATCGGTTCCACCACAAATCCGCGGTAGACTAAAGCGCGCTCGACGAAAGCGCGTATGTGACGTCATCACAGCGTGACGAAAACGGCACGCTGTGAGCGGTAAATTTAAAATTAACGCGAAAACCTTACCCTAACCCCCCCAAACCTAACCCTAAACCTAACCCTAAACCTAACCCTAAACCTAACCT